AAACTTGCCACAAGACACATACTATCCAGACCCTAAGAAACCAAAGGTGACATCAATAAAGCTATGCTGATTCCACCCCAAAGCACATCAAAATCCAGCAGGACGCTAAGGTAACATCAAGGTTGGGGACAGAAACCAAATGGAGCCTTGGCGAGACCTTGCACCAGGCTCCTCACATGGAGCCCCCACAGCCCATGCCCCCTCCCTCCTGCTTTTCACTTCCCACGTGCCATTCCCTCAGCGCTCTCTTTAAAAACCCTCAGTAAATCTGAGGCTTTGAGATGGTTTTAGTCTGGTCATTCTCCTTCAGTTTTATCAGAGAGATGGGTTTGCTTAACATCTACCTCTCCTCAGGTCACCGGTATTACTGAACAAAAGCTGACTTCACATTCCACTGACAACAGCAACAACAACAAATTTTTTTTAAAGTGAATGTGAGGGCTTTTTTCTTTTATTTTTTCTATATATTCTAAATATTCTACTTTATGCATAGAATAAATTAACATATTTTTCAAAAGAATGTGGGGATAAGTCTCCTTTGCACTTACTTGTAATCCCAGGGGGAGCTGGAGCGGTTATGAATGTTACGTAAGCCCGGGCTACCCAGATTTTGATTGAGAATATGAACATCAATCATCACACTGTTCTTGTCCAGAGAAGGGCAATTTTCAGGTTTTGGGGGGGCAATATTCAAAACTTTGGGGAGGGCAAGCCTCAACATCAGCAGCAGCAGAGACTTCACCTGAAAAATAGAGTAGGTTGCCATTGGTTAGAGATTCTGGTGTCACTTGCTGGTAAGAAATAACATGTGCTCTAGCTGAACTCAGCATTCCCAGTTCTATGTGATCAGAGGTTCTCTTTGGACCTCAGGTCCAAAGAGAATGGGAACACTCATAACTGAGGATATAAACATGCCAAACTGAGAACTAAACTAATTAACCTGGTGATTGAAGCCCTCCCTTCACAGTCTGAGAGCTCCTAAACAGTGAGACAGAAAGATGTCAAGGTCTGGAATTGAGTTTATATCTTGTCCTGGCTTCCTTGCTGAGACTATGGCTTCTCTTCTTTCCAAATGGATAATAATACTCACTTTATAATACTATTAGCAAGATTAAATGGAATGTTCTATGTAAAGCACCTGTAAATTTCTCTAACAAAAATTAAGTATTAGTAAATGATAGCTCTTGTTTTTATTTTCAACCTCATATCTCATGGATCCTCCACAAAATTCTTCCACTCATCCTTCTACCTAGAATACACTGCCCCACCTCTGTCTATTGAAATACAACCCTTCCATCAAGTCCTTACTCATGTGCAATCTCCTCCAAGACCTGTACCAAAAGTGGTACAATTAGAAGTATGTCTATTATCCCTAAATCATAAAGCTATTCCCATCTGGTACTCAAGCAGCATTTTTTTTT